GCCCTCTTCATATTTCCAAAACCGCCGGCCCCACAACTGTTTTCACACAGCTGCACCAAACAAACAACCAACTTCCCCGCAGCAATTTTCTTAACAGCTGCCCCACAACTGTTTTCACACAGCTGCACTAAACAGACAGCTAACTTCCCCGCAGCTGCTTCCCTACAGCAACTTTCTTCTTGGGCAGTGCAGCTGCAGCTGAAAAGCTGAGAAGCTGCAGCTGCGCCAAACAGACCCTAAAATGATAAATGGTAACAATTATTATTTGGAAGTTACCTGCATGCCACTCAAATCTTATGTATTTACATATATAATATCTAAACTTCAATTTTATATAAATGCCACCTTATATGCATTTGACTGTTTAAAAGTTAAAATAATAATATTTTTGATGTAATGGAAGACTTGGGCTGTATAAATATAAAAATTAATTAGGTATTAGATACGTATATACAAAAACTTTGGAAAAATTTTTTGTCCGAACTCGAGACATAGCTCTACGTGCAGACTCCAGTAATATGTCGCCACGTGTGCTATATTACGGAGGTTATTGGAGGATTATTGAAGTGAAATTACAGAGGTTATTGGGGGATTATTGCGGGGGTTAATGCATGAGTTATTGAAATGGAACCACAGAGGTTATTGAAGGTTTATTGCTAGGAGTTATTGAAATGGAACTGTAGAGGTTATTGATAAGTTATTTGAGGGTTATTAGAGAGTTATTGCATGGTTATTGGAGTGGAACTGTTCAGGTTATTTTGGGGGGTTATTAAGAGGTTATTGTAGCATTATTGAAGTTAACACCATCAATACCCAATAACTCTTCAAATAATATCCGCAATTTCACTCTAATAATTTCAGTGATTTCACTCAAATATCCTTCAAAATTTGTGTGTCTCATATAAGGTTATCATTCGAGAGAAAAATTTGCGTATGTCTTGCGTACATAATAAAGGTTATATGGACGTTAAATCGACATTGCATTCGCATTATATCCCCTGTGAACTCCATGTAACCTCTATATAACCTACATATAAACTATCTGAACTTACAAATAAATTCCGCGTTTCTATTTTCACATATATGTAGGTTACATGAAAATTATATGAAAGTTGAAAGAACTATAACGCGAATATAATACCATATAAAGAGCCTACAACCTAAGTAGCCTTGAGTACTTCTTTGGCACGCAAATTTTTTAGATCATTTGGAGTGAGGGAGTTCGGACAGAAAAATACTTCGGGTATGTATGTAAATGCAGCGAACCCTCGCGATAGTCCAATTACAGAGATCGCTGGGAAGCAGGCAACGCCGGTATGGCGACTTACAAATACCTCCGAAACTCCCTATCTTACTCCTCTACACAAAACCAGAGGTAACTCTCGTCTTTGTCTCACTTCTTTCCACCTTCTTCGGGCGCTTCAGCTTCTCCCACTCCCGTAAGTTCGTCTGTCAACGAGATGTACTAACTCCTGTACTTAGGGTAAAACGGAGGGAAAATATGATTTATGAACCTGTAGGATTTAAAGATGCCATTTTCCTGTTTGGAAGGATTTAGGTTAAATACTGCTACCAAACATCTCTACAGGTCCAAAAAATGTATGAAAGTTTTCGCCATATGTGGCGCATGTAGCAGATATTTTGCAGTCAGCATTTATGTAAAGACAAGACAGAAATAATTGATTTTTTTTTTTTCAAAATTCAAAGTAGAGAAATAGCTTCAGTATCAGCATTTTCCAAACTCAAAATTTTCTCCCTGCAACTTTGACAACCAACTCTTAACGCCAAAATCAAGCTCTCCAAATATTCATCCATACCAAAGTCTCTTTGATGCCGCAAAAAAATAAAAGGAGCTGAAGATAATCGGCTTGACTGCATTTGCTTTCACTCTTTTCTTCTGGCACGCTTGTTTGTTTCTTCTTAAGAGCTATTTGGATAAAATTTGTACCCGATCTGATTTTGACAGGTTTCAAGATTTGTACCCCAAATAAGTCCTAAGCCTCTGTTCTCGTCTAACAATGGCGCCTTCTCCTTCCCACACCTGTGATTTTCCTTCTTCTCCCGTTACCACAATCTTCTCGTCTAACAATGGCGCCTTCTCCTTCCCACACTTGTGATTTTCCTTCTCCCGTTACCACAATTGATGTATTGGATGTATTCGACAACAATCACCAGGTACTAAAAAATTATGGATTCAATTCACCATCTATGGTTTTGTTTTTTTTTTATTTTAATGACTTTTTTTTTCCTTTTAGCCATTCTTCGTTCTCCACAAGGCATCGTCTCAGAAGCGTGACAGAAAATCCTCCTCTGCATATGGGAGAACGAAAAGAAAAATTGATATGCTGCACTCTTCTCCGATGTCAACAATGCAAGAAGAGAATGATGCCATCTATGAGCAGTTTCGCCTAGAAGCTTTTGAAATAACTTGGTCGAAGATCAATTCTACCATCAAGGTCAGCTTCTTTTGTATGCTTCTTTCTCTGTTTATCTCTATTTTTCTTATATTTGCTTTACTTCATCTATAAGTATAGTTTTCTACAATTTTGCTTAAGCCCTTACCAACATAAATTAAATACTGTTTAGTTGCCTATTTTTGCTATCTTAGTGTAGAGAAGCTAAGCTAAGCTAATTTTGAAGCTTAAGCTGTAAGTTGCTCAAGCCATTTGATTGTTTAAAAGTTAAAAATCATATGAGCAGTGAAGCTGTTTGGTCTTTTAATATCAGTTTTAGTTTAGAATTCATTCATTTATTATTATTTTAATAGATTTATTCATACAGCCTTAGAGGAAGTCGTTATAGCTTGGAGGAGTGACTTGAGAAGCTACAAACTATTCATTACTTGAGCATTATATATAATTTTTATTTTTTTTGATTTTTCTAATTTAAACTGTACAGGTTATTATGTGGATTGTGTAAATGATGAGTTACTCTGAAGGTATTGAAGGCATTCAATAAGAATTGTTAGGTAGATTTGAAAAAGATGATATCATAGCCATTGATATGTTTTCAATGTTAATGCACACTTGATTCATAATGATCCACTAAGATTCATGTATGATAAAACATGTTCTGGTCTTTGATATTTATATGGGGTGCTTGTTCGGAATCCAACAAGAGCATATCAATACTTTTATTTGCTAGCTCAATATTTTCTATATTTTTGGGATGCAGGTTAGTGGGTAATGGTTTTATTTTTAGGCACAAAATATGCTGCAAGAGAACAACGTAATGTATTAATGAGTTGTGATACATGGACATGCTTATCTTCATATATATGAGCTCTTTCAATATTATAATTGTTATTAGGTCTTTTTAACAATGTTTTGTAAGCAACAATGGTTATTGTAGATGGTACTACTAACTCTCAATTAGGCTTGTAATCTCTATGCTCATGGCAATCCATAATTTTATTTGTGTTCCAAAGTTTCTGTTGGTGCCATGCAATTGTAATTTTTTAATCATTAATGGTAGAGCATTATGATAGTAGAAAATGTTTCACTAGTTATAATGTAATGCAATTGCCATCTAGTAGACTAATTATTTTTAGAACATGTATGACTGAATACCTTTTAGATATCTCGGGTTTATTGTTCAAAGTGATGATGATGATGATATAGATGAGGATGTTATTAGTAAAATCCAAGTTGGATAGTTGAAGTGGAGGAATGCATCGGGCCTATTATGTGATAGAATTATGTGATAGAAAAGTATTATCTCTTAGACTTGAAGGAAAATTTTATAAGATGGTGGTGAGACTTGCAATGCTTTATGGCGGGGGATATTGGCCTGTAATTGAGAATCATAAAATTAAATGTTTCTGAGATGCGAATGCTTAGGTAGATGAGTGGTTTTACACTTCGAGACAAAGTGTCAAACAAATATATTTGTGAAATGGTTGCAGCAACTCCAGTTGCAGATAAGATTAGAGAGAGCTGCCTTAGATGGTTCGGTCACATCAAACGTTGACCATTCGATGACCTTGTTTGTTGATTAGATGTTTAGATTTGATTGATGCTAAAAACAGTAGAGGCAGTCCTAGAAAGACGGGCGGCTTATGGTGAGCCCATCTGGCCACATGCCCAAAATAATCTTAATTTATTAGAATTAAATAAAAATATGACACTCAATAAGACACAATGGGGAAAAATGATTTATGTAGCCGACCCTACATAGTGGGATAAAGGCTTGTTGTTGTTTTTGTATGGCCCAATACCTTGATTGGAAATCTTTGTAATTCAAAAGTGTCATCTACAAATTAAATCCACATTTCAATTACTTTAAAAAACACACGCAATTAACATATGCAAATTTTATAAATACCGACTAATAGATGCTAGAAGTTACCCCAGAAATGTTTTACTACACCATGTTCATCTTATTGTAAATTAAGGACCTATTTGGAATATTTTTTTTTGTTTTTTTTTGAAACAAAAACAAAAAACAAACCCAAAAATAATGTTTATTTATTTGTTTTTTGTGTTTTTTTTATTTTGTTTTTAAAGCACATGAGACTTGTTCTCAAAACATCAAAAACACAAAAATTGTATTTTCTATGTTTTTAAAACATGTTTTTCAGAGCATTACCTGTGCGATGCCTCGTCGGCCGCCGCCGCCTACCTCCTTCGCCCTTGGCTGGCCGTTGCTTCAGCCACATGCCTTCGACGCAGCAGCTCGCCTTTGCAGCCGCTCGCCGCCAATCGCCGACCACCCTCCATCCTTTGGCCATCGTCCTTTGCAGCCGCCGCCGCCCTCCGGCCGCCGTCTTCTGACACATCCACCACTCGTTGACGCCGTTCGCCGCCCACCGTCCACCTCCCGCCAGCCGCCTCAACCTCCCGCTCGACACCACCCGCCCAGGTAACGAATCGTGTTGGGTGGAACAAGGAAAACGTCCTAAACACAATGGGTGACAGAGCTTAATACTTGAGCGCAATGTGGACCCAACTGTTATATAAAAAAATATAGTTTTTCCTTTAAAAAATTTAAAAATACCAAACCAAACATGTTTTATATTTTATATTTTTTAAATTATATAAATAATAATAGTACCAAATGCTTTTTCTAAAAATAGACCATATATATATTTATATATAGACTAAAAACAAAAATAATAAACATCAAATGAAAAGTGATCCCAAATAGGCCCTAAAGATTCCTTTGTTGTTTTTGAAAGCTACGAGTCCGAGTTCATGCTTCACCTTCTTAGTTAAGTCACAAACCAAAATTGAACTCTTAGTGTATCGATGCTGAAGATTTAAATTATAACTGGTAGCGTGCAAATAACAATGCAACTAAAAGTTTATTTTTTCATTATGTACACATAACCAAAAATTATTACTTAAAATTTTTCTCCTCACTATTTTGCCAATAGGTTCTTTGTTCCATGGACAATTTAGCCACCATGTAGAGGTGAGCTTAGCTTTTAAAGGTTATCTTTCTTCTAGGATGCTTTGTTGATGTCATAACAAATCTAGTAATTGTGGGTTTAATGCGTCTTCTCTTAGAAAACCTTCTTATTAATGCTAAAACCCAACTCTAATTGTAAATTAAACTTATTAATCTTCTTGGCTTTAGTTAAGATATTCTTATGTCGAGGCAACTTTTCAAGATTTTTAAGTATTAAACCAAATCAATGCGTGACACGTTGAGTTGAATGAAGACGCTTCTTCTACATCAACGTGTTTCATATCTTTTTGTAAATACTTTTATTATTGGCTGTCAATTGGACTATCAGATACTTTTCAATCTCTGTTATAAGTTCATACATTAGCTTTAAAACATACTATGTATCTTTTACTTGATTGACCCTTTATAGATTCATAATGATAATGCCTTATGGATTGTTTGTTAAAATGTCGATCATTTATTTTTTTTAATATTCAACTGCCGTTTGACATGATTGTTACTCTATTTTGTGATCATATTCTTTTGATCAATTTACTCAGTTTATATAATTCCTCATTTAGTATCTAAGCCTCCAGTTAATATAAGGAAAAATGTTTCAGGCCTTAACCATACAAATCTATAGAATGAATCATTTTAACATACAATGAGGACATTTTCATTTTAAATTGATGTTTTTTTAGTGGAAAATGTTCATGTCAATCTCCATATTCATCATATATTGATTTGTAGGTCCCCTCACAATTTTATTGGATATTTGTGACATAAGAGAAGAACACTACTATTATACCATTTTGAGTTTGCCTTGAACTTGGTTAGTAGTCTTTCTTGATTTTGCCTTTTCCAGTCTACGTTGAACTCAACTCACGAGAGTGCCTTTGAGAGTATTCAAGGTGTATATTTTGTTATCTACTTTTTTATAACTTTGGCGGGAAACTACGAAAGAACAATATATGATAGCAAAAGTGATCTTTTTTGAGTGATAAGTGTCATTATTTAGCTCTTTCTTTCAACAATCTTTAGTCTTTGTGCTGAATCCACTATTCTATTTCGCTCTATAGAAGATCTGTTTGTAATAGCACATAATTAATGTGCATGAAAAGAATGAATGAAATTATTTATAAAAGATTATTATTTAGCTCTTTCTTTCGTCAATATTTACTCTTTTGTACTGAATCTAATATTCTATTCCACTCTATAGAAGTCTGTTTGTAATAGCACACATTTAATGTGCATGAAAAAAGTGAATGAAACGATTTTAAAAAGGTTATTAGTTTTGTCTGTGTTAGCATAATTTGCTTCCTATAAATGACCCCCCTTCCACTCTCACCTCAAATTTCATGATGAAGGGGCTATGCGTATGGAGATTCTAGCAGCCATATTGTGATTTCCGAGTATTTCAAGATAACGTACTCGGGAAAGGTTGAAAAGGTAGAAAGGTGAGAGCTTAAAGAAGGGAAAAAATGCAAGGTTGGAACTTACCAAGCCATATAAGGAGGCGGTCTTCCCTGTTCCTATGGTGACTTCTGTTGAACTCATTTTAGGGGTGCATTTTTGTCCGATCAACTAGTCTTTGCAAGTTGAAGTTGCCTCGGAGATTGTTGAGAAACTTATTGCATAAGTACATACAAAAGTTTTCGTATTGTATCACCTAAAATTTTTTATTTAATAAAGAATCATTTTTGTTTTTGAAGGTGGCTTTGGCCCCTACAATAAATTTTTTGGATGAAGTTTTCTTTGAAATAATTGAGCCATTTTGGCAAATATAGTGTTGTAAATTCTAAGTTGCTTCTCCTTTGGCAAAATTTTTTTTTCCTCATTGATTTGTTTTTTAAATTTTTTTAGGTAGTCTATGTTACATCAGGGATCGATTTTAAGTCCATATATTTTTGCTTTAGTTATGGACATTCTTACTGGACATTTACAGGAGGATGTACCGGAGGATGTACCTTGGTGTTTCTAAGTGTATGCTTTTCACTGATAATATTCTTTTTGTGGATAAGACTAGAGAAAGAGTTTAGGAAAAATTTGAATTATGGAGGCTTACATT